AAAAAAAAAAAAAAAAAAATTAAAAGGCCAGCAGTAACTTAGCCTGGAATGTTTGAGTATTCTGCAGATAAAGAAAACTGTCTCAGCATAACCCATGACTTCACTGTATCAATTTAAATCATGACACTAAAATTTACCTTAGCCTGCTGAAAGGCCCATCTTATTTTAACCATACCTATATGCTATATTTCCTTCTCTGATCCTAACCAAGGAATCTGCAACCTAGGAAAATGACTAATTTAGTAAGCAAACCCAACTATAAACAGCCCAAGAAGTTAGGAAGTAAGATTCTTAACTTACTTCAGCAAACAGGCAACAACCCAGATCACCTTGGGGGCAGGGTAGGCGATCTTAACTGGCATGCTCCCAGAGGGAAACTGCTATCTTGAGAAAGAATCAGAGCTGAAAATCTCCTCATCAGGAATGAGCATTCTGGGACCACTTAACAAGTCTGCACCCCTAACCCTTTACCCTCATTCCTGAAAATTATCATTGCACATAAAACCCCTAGACAATGAGCCAACCACGGGCTCTCTTGTCTCCTCCTGGTGTAAGCCAGGAGCTATGTCCTCTCACTGTATCTCTAAATAAAAGCCTGTACCTTGCTCTCCTACCTTGAGTGTTTGTAAAGCTCATTCTTCGGCTTCGTGAGCAAGAACCCCAGCATCATTATGGGTTATTGAATGGATTGCCTACATTATTTTTTGATAAATCAGTGCTGGGCTGGGCTGGGCTTTTGGGATGCCATTCTGTGCAGAAACTAGGCCACAGCAAGCTCCAGGAAGTTTTAGCTCTCTGTTGTTTATGTATAAGTAATACCTAGACAAAGGTCTAAATGAATATAATCCAAACTCATTATGGTCACATCCCTGGATAAGGGTGTGAAATTGGAAATCAAAAGATACTTTTAATTTTTATCCATAAATATCTATATTATTAAATGGTTTATATAACTCACAGTACTTATCTAATTTTAAATAATACATATAAAAAAGCATCCCATGCTCATGTTAATTGTAGAAAAAGCAGAATTCTGACTTCCTACATTATAGGTACCACTTGGTGGTACAAGAGGAAATCATGATTCTAGTGTGGTAGGAAGCCAAGCCAAGAAAAGGGACAGTTTTTCTTTAAGGCTTTAAGAATGCAGAAAAATACCAGGGTGCTTGAGTTTAAAGCAGTGTAACAATGTATCCCCACTGGTTCCGCAGTTTCCCCAGCTCCTGCAACACTAGGCAAGGCTATTCCCAGTTCCAGTGACTAGGCTGCAAGTTCACAGAGTTTGGATGGAATGGTGGGTTGTGATTTATGGAGCCACTGGTGATTTAGATGTTCAGAGGCAGCACAAGTAATCCACATGACTTTCTGTGCATGTCCCAGGGTGACTAACAGAGAGTGCTTAGAAACAAACACAAGATTCCCTGCTCTTGTTTATATGTTCATTTATGCATTCACCAAACATGTTCTTTCCTCATGGACCAGGTCTTGTGAGGTTGTTTTGGACAACACTTATCCCTCTACCTATTTTAAAGTGTGGATTTATACTCTCTAGTTATAAGAATCCACCCCAAGCCCTCCAGTGTTAGCAAAGCAATGGAGAAAGAAATGGCAATGAAGAAGGGTGTCTTGAGATCTGGACTCTTGTCCTGTGAGGCTCACCTTTCTCTGGAGACCTCTCACTCACCACCAGTGCAGTCTCCCCAGGCCCAACACAGGGAATGTCTGCCTGCCTCAGGGGTCCCCGCCTCCCATCAGTCATTTACCGTGTGACCTCAGGAGGGCATATCAAATGAGAAAATGTGATCCATGAAGTCCACCATGAGTTCAAGCCACTCGCACAACAGCAGGGACATCATCATCACTTTTGAGCAGATGTGATTTCACAGTCCCTGCAACATCCAGAGACCTGAACTCTGAGTTTATCACAGCAGCATGCTATCACGAGTGAATTGTCATGGCCAAATCCTCTCCCCAGACTAATCAGAGGGTGAGGAGGCATCCTAGCCTCCAAAATTTCCAGCTAACTTGCATAGGGAAGTTAATTTACAGCATTCCAGAACACAAAGGGATCCCAGGCTGGGATTGCATCAGCTCTGTCTGCTTGCTCATGTCCATGCAGACTTTCCCTCTTGCTGAGAAAAAAGAGTAAGAGAGGAAGGCAGAAGAGTTTCTGTTAGAAAAGCATACACGTGGACCAAACAAGCAAACAGCAAGTCACTGTGAATTGCATTCAAAGCTTTATTGTTGCCAAAGTTTGGGAGTTACATTACCTCTGGCAGGCTGCCTAAATAAAGAAACAAAGCCAGGGGCTGGTGAATGTCTAGAAGGTAGAGCAGGGCTGGTCTTATGTATTTAACAGCAGCAATTATCCTCATGATCACAGCATGCTGGACCTCGGGACCTCATGGGAATGATTCCCAAACAGCAGCACCCAGGACCACAGTGACTGGAGCCGCAGTACCCAGAACTGGAGGGTGGAGAGCTGCAGCACCCAGATGCCACACAGCAGCCCGATGACCCTGATCTGCAGTCCTGAGGCTGTTGGACCCAGCGCCTCAGGGGACTCACCCCAAAGGTCTGGGGAGCCAGGCAGCAGTAGCTGGTGGAGCTGGGAGCAGAACATGGGTCAGGGGCACAGCAGTGGGCAACTGAGCCACTTGCAGGAGCCTGGACATAGGTCCGGCAAGGAGAAGGGCGCTGGACATAGCATGTCTGGGCCTGGCATGGAGCTGGGCGTTTCACATAGGTGGTCTGACAGGGAGTTGGGCATTTCACGTAAGTTGTCTGGGATGGAGTTGGGCATTTCACATAAGTCTGGCATGGAGTCACACATTTCACATAGGTTTGAACTGGGCATGGACCTGGGCATTTCATGAAGGTTTGAACTTGGCGTGGAACTGCATATTTTACAGAGGCACAGTTGCTACTTTTTCCAGCTCCCAACCCTGAACTTTTCACACAAGATGGAGGGAGCTGTAGCTGTTTCTGCTGGTCACACATCTTCCTGTGGCTTTGAAAAATCTGAAAAGAAAGGTCTCATCAGAGCTAGGAAAGTTTCCAGGGAAACCTGCTGCCTCCTGTTTGAATAGAGTGATGTGCAGCAATTTTGAGAAGGTCACAGACACCAGATCTGTCATTAGGGTGGGCTCAGAGCCAGGGATCCTAGGCTCAGCTCTTGTGCCTCTACCTGGCAGTGTGCTTTATGAACAAGTCACAGCTCACCTCTAGGCCTTAGTTTCCACAAGGAAAAAGGAAGAGGTTAAAAGAGTGATGTCTGCCTTTCTACTACCCAACTCTCCAAGCCTCTTTTTCTCACTGCATTGTCTGCACCGTGAATTCTCCTTTGGAAACTGTTTACCAGATGATTTCCCCTTGCTGCCAATTCTCTCAAGAGTGGCTTCCCTTCATCCTCCTGCCTGGCCAGGCAGTACCCAAGGAAGATGAATTCTTACCAGTAGACCCTGAGCCAATATGAGTTTCAAGATGAGCCTGACAAGGCCAAATTGAGAAGTTCCCACCATTTGCTCTTTGGATCAGCTGGACTGTCACTTCACCTCATTAATGGACTCAAGTGAGGGCTACACAACTCCACTCAGAGAGGGTGAAGGCAGCAACCCAGTTCTCTGAAAAACCCTTTTCACACAGGACTAACACTCTGCACCTCTGCCTCTCCTCACATTCTCCAGGCTCTACTCTTCCTACCAGCTGTTGCCATCTAGCTCCTTCAGCAGCTGGCCTCAGTGCCTAGTCCTGACCATGCTCATCCCACACTTCTCCACACCAATTTCACCAATGCTCTTTCTAGAAATGTTTGTTATCCCAGGCATAGACTTACCCTCTTTGCTGATAGGAGCAAGACTGGAAGAAGCCAGTGATCTGAGGAACTGGCAGTTACGGAGACCTTTTATAGGGCAGCAGTGAGGCAATTTAATGTCATATGAATGAAGCACCAGAGATCACGAGGATGAGGGCTAGCATTGCATTAGCAAAGATTCCTCCCTGGTATGTTTGGCTCTTTAGTCAGAGGCAGGGCATGTTTCTGCTTGACACTGAATTTTCTCACACACAAGATAAATGATTCCTGTTGCCTTCTTCATGAAATAAGTCAGTCTTCTTTTTCTAGAAGTTATGAGAGGTGAGACACCTATGAGATCTGTCCCTGTGAAGCTGGTTCTAGGTCACTTTAGTCTTCATGGACTTTTCCAAGATGTGGCTAGCATCTTAATTTTTCACTGTGTAGAAAGCGACACTGCATCCTCCCAGCCTAAGTGGTGTGTTCTTTCTGAGGGCTTCCTCAGAGGCTCCTGCTAGTCTAGGCTGCAGGGCACAGAGTTTGGCCCACTGGTATCTGCCTCCATACGGTAGCAACACCCTCAAGAAATTATTTGTTCCATGGACTGGCAGGCTGTTCAAAGTTTATTTGGGAACGTGGAGTGTTCTTGATGACCTCAGACCCCAGGCTCCACATCTAGGCTCTCTCTCCTCACCCACCCCATGACCTCCCCCATCTGCACTGTTAGTCCTATGATCTCTCCCATACCAGCTTTCTGGACCTCACTAACAGACTTCCCAAGAATCCAGTACAAGGGGCAACCCAGTCAAATGAACACTGTATGATAACAATAATAGGAGAATCTAATATGCAATCGAATGTTTTTAGTACCAAACAGTTCATAGGGTACATAAATTTACAATGGCCCTACAACTGAGGCCTTGAGGGATTAAGAAAGTTAACCATTGTCACAAAGCAAGTAAGTCAGAATTCAGTCTCCTCTCATAAGCCATGGTGTTTCTCACCACATTTTGCCTCTTATTTCTGACACAGCACTGTGCCTGAATCTCTGTCTCCAGTCCTTTCTCCAATGCAGCATATAAGGAGAAAGATGGGAATGACATATATTAAGCACCTATGTGCTAGTGTGCTGAACACTGTCCTAGCTTCTTTTCTTGTGTTATTTTACCTGATCTTCACAATAACCTTGTGAAGACTATGTTAACCCTATTTTTAAAGAAGAGGAAACTAAGTCCCAGAGGCCTATTTCACCAAAGTAACCCCATCGGTTGGCACTGGAGTATGATTTGGACCCAAGCCTGTCTGGTTTCAGAGCCCGTACTTTTCTCACAGAGCCATGTCAGGTTGCCCAGTGTGGAAGGTTATCTTGATCCTGAGCCTAGTACTGGTTCTCGCCTGCCACTCAGATCAGCCAGTCTAGGCCCCCACCATGCCCCATGGGCCTCTCAGGTAAATGGTGCTACTGCATTTGTCCATAAAGGATTCCCAGTTTCCCTAGGACCCACAAACTTCAAGGTTCCAGTTTCCTAAACAAAGAAAATGCAAGCCCCCAGTAGTCCACGTATACTTCCTTAATTCAAGTCAGGTCCTGCAAAGTCTGTCCCTGAACAATTTAGAGGACAAAAGAAGGGAAGATTCTTCCCCAGATGTGGAAAGTTTCCTACTTCCTCCTGTCATTCCTGTGTCTGGTGGGCTTGTAACACTCCCCAGCAAGGGTACCAATTCAACAAAACCTAACAGCATTTCCTTAGTACTTGCTCACATACTAGGCACATGCTTTGCTTCACATTGATATTTGCTGGGACTGTTCATTCAGAATATATTTATTAAGCCTAGTATGTCCCAAGAGCAGTTTTAAGATCTAAGAAAATAGATGTGAGCAAAATATAAAAATTCTTGCCTCCTTGAACTTATTCTAATAAGGAAATATAGAAGACAAACAAAATGAGTAAGAAATATACTATCTTCTCATCTAACAGGTCTATTTTGAGTATGCCAAGCCCTTGAATAAGGCACTGTGGATAGAGCAGTGAATGAGAGATGAAGATTCTTTTCTGACAGACTTTATACCCTGATGGGAGAAAACGGGAGATTTATATATATAAAATATGTAATGTGTTAGATGACTATAAACTCTATGGGAAAAAATACAGTTTGGAATAGGGACAGGGAGTGGCAGTGGGGGGTGAATTATCATTTTAGGCAGTGTCACCCGTGAAAGCCTCCCTGAGGTCATATCTGGACAAAGACTCAGAGAAGGTATGCAAGTTAGTCCCATGGGCATATGGGACAAGAACATTTTGTGTAGAGAAAAAAGCAAGAGCAAAGTATCCTAAAGGAGGAGTCTGCCTAGAGTGTCCAGTGAACTACAGAAGTGCATGCAAGGCAGGGGATTGTGGGGGCGAGAGTGTGGGACATGACGTCAGGGGAGTAAGCAGTTGGAGTCATGAGGTTGAATCTGTGGATCATTTTGAAAGCGACTATAAGAACTTGGGCTTTTACCAGGAACAGAATGAGAGGTCGTTAGAATGTTTTCAGCAGATGAATGACATTGAGATAGGGACCATGGGCTTAGACAGAGTAGGGTGAGGGCCTCCAGAAAAAACAAAGCAAGATAATCCATGTGGGATTTGCTTTGGCCTGCTGGGGGATCCAGCTTGTTTTTCTAACTTTACCCAGGTGCTACTTTTCTTCCTCCAGCCCTAAACAAATGATTTGCAACCTGGGCAATGTAGCAAGCAAGCCCAAAACAACGTAGTAAAAACAGGAAGGATGCCATATTGAAAATTAGATTGTATTTTAAAACCCAACTTGTTAAAAAGTACGTTATTCTTTAACAAACAGGCAATAACTCAGCCAAACTTGGAAGCAAAGCAGGCAGTCTTTTTTTATTTTTTATTAAGGTATGATTGATATACACTCTTATGAAGGCTTCACATGAAAACACAATGTGGTTACTACATTTACCCATATTATCAGTCCCCACCTATACCCCAATGCAGTCACTGTCCATCAGTGCAGCAGGATGCCATAGATCCACTATGTGCCTTCTCTGTGCCACACTGTTCTCCCCATGACCCCCCACACCATGTGTACTAAACACAATACCCCTCAATCCCCTTCTCCCTCCTTCCCCACCCACCCTCCCACATTCCTTCCCTTTGGTAACCACTAGTTCATTCTTGGAGTCTCTGAGTCTGCTGCTATTTTGTCCCTTCAGTTTTGCTTCACTGTTATACTCCACAAATGAGGGAAACCATTGGCATTTGTCTTTCTCCATCTGGCTTATTTCACTGAGCATAATGTCCTCCAGCTCCATCCATGTTGTTGCAAATGGTAGGACTTGTTTTCTTCTTATGGCTGAATAATATTCTATTGTGTATATGTACCACATCTTCTTTATCCATTCATCTACTGATGGACACTTAGGTTGCTTCCATATCTTGGCTATTGTAAAAAGTGCTGTGATAAACATAGAGGTGCATATGTTTTTTGAATCTGAGAAGTTGTATTCTTTGGGTAAATTCCAAGGAGTGGGAATCCTGGGTCAAATGGTATTTCTATTTTTAGTTTTTTTGAGGAACCTCCATATTGGCAAAGTAGGCAGTCTTGAGCCATATACTCCTAGACCAGGAAGTTGCTATCCTGGGAAGAAATCAGAGCAACAAAATTCTTGTAAATAGCCAGGAAGACTAATAAGAAACTTAGTGTTTCTTCAAAGGTAAACATTCAGAGACCACTTAGCAGGTGTACATCCCTAGCCCTTTGTCTCTCAACTGCCTATAAAACTCCTAGACAATGCACCAGCCCCGGGACTCTCTTGTCCCCTCCTGGCTTGAGCCAGGATCTCTGTCCTCTTGCTTTCTTTCTAAATAAAAGCCTCTGCCTTGTTCTCCTACCTTGAGTGTTTGTGAAGTTCATTCTTCAACCCTGCGAACAAAAACCCTGGCATCAACATGATCTAACTATTAATGTCTCTATTTTACACATAAGGAAACTGAGATTCAGAAGGGTTAGCAAATTACTTAAGATCACACAATAGGGAACTGGCAGAGCTATAATGATAACAGGGTACTCACTGGCAAGAAAAAGCATAAATTCATAGGATCGCAGCTGGCCCTTTGTGTGGAGGTTTTGGAGGCTATGCTATTTGCTCTGGGAGGATGGATGCAACAGCTGGGAGGTAGAGGTGCCAGAGGTGATTTGATCCAGTGGAATATGAGAAGAACACGGAACTTTCCTGTATCCCACTCAAAACACAAAGATGAGGCAGTTTCTACTGAAAATCTCAGGAGGTGGTTGTTTAGACCAAATGCAATTAAACAGCTCTACAAAGTGGACGGTAAGCCTGAGGGACTAGTTTCCTTATGTGGTAAGAGAATAAATGAGTTAGGGAAGGGCTGGCAGAAGTTTGAGGAAACCAGCCCCAATGGGCCACTCCCAGAAAAAAAGAATATTTGGGCATCAATGTTCACTGGCCTATGCAACCTAGTGCTGTCCTGCCCTGCGTTCCTGGCCCAGACACAGCGTGGGGACTGTGAGGCAGATGGGGCTGGGGTTGCCATGTTTCAATGACTCACATGTGCACAGTGGGAATCCTGCTTGACATTCCCCTGTCTATGTGAAAACACTGTTCTGTAGGGGATGCCCCTTAGAGAACTGGCACTGGTTCCACTGTGGCAATCTTGGTGGTGTTGGAAGGTGGGGAGGAAGACAAAGATGAGGCCAGGTGAGGGTGACTTGCTTTCACTAGCAAGCCTGTTCAGTGGCCACTGTTGTAATGGAACATGCCCTGGATGGGATTCAGAAATTCTTGTCTAGAGTCTCCTCCTGCCTGGATGTGTGGCCTTGAGCAAATTTCTTCCCTTCTCTATGGGCATCAGTCAAAATACAGGGGCTGAGCTCTGAGCTTATAAATGTCCCCGCCAGTCCTTTGGCCTGACATTCTACAGTATAATCTCCCAATGATCTAGGAGGAACCCTGGATTGTCACTGGAATAATGGTGCAGGGGATTTCTGGTGGAGGTCTCAGAGCTGAGCCTGGGACAAAGATACTCACTGGAACAGAGACGTGGGATC